TTTTTTATCCTTACTTTATTTTCCTTGTGTGTGAAAATGTAACCGGCTGCGGGTTATTAAGAACCAAAAAAAAACATCTACGTGTGGGCAGAGCAATTAAGTAGCCTAAGTATTATTGTTTAAAATAACAAAATGGGGAACAGAAACTTAAGCCAGCAGTAAGGCTACTTTTGCTCATTTTAAAACCTGCTCACAATGTTTGGTTTTTATGTTTTAAAGGCAGCGTAGACCTTCCTGGATTTCACCTGAAGGGAGGGCTTACCTTCTACCTCAGGGTTTAATTGATCTAAAAGACTGGAAATAATGAGTCATACTGAGGTGTGTTAGCCAAAAGTTCAGTACAACCTGAATTTAATAATTGGATAAGATAATATCAGATAAATCAGCTGTAACTTACTGCTATGGGCTGACTACTTATTGTTTTTTAACCATGCAAAACTTGCATCTCATATAAAAAGGCAACAGATTAAAAATTAAAATCTCTTTAATGATAAAATTTATAAAATTGTGTTGCTTAAGTCCAGCTCTTTTATGCAGCAGCTCTTGTACAAATCCTCTGTTGCACATGTGTGACGGCAGCATTGATCTCCTGCAGAGTGATGACTTTCAGTCTGTTGGTTTTTGACAGCCTGGAAGCCTCGGAGCTCACCAGTCTGAGCACGACTGGTTTGGGACAACTGAGTCGACTGGCCAGGAAGTCTGGACTCCTCATCCCAGTTGGACTGACCTGCCGGAGACATGAAAAAAAATAAATAAAAAGATATCACAGGCGGTTTTGAATTGCACTTAAGACAAGAAGATTCTTTTCATGGTCTTAATCCAAATCACTGTGACCTATACAGTCCAGTAAGATTTTTGACCTACTTTAACGTTAAAATCATCCCATGAAAAACAAGAATTTTTAGTTCTAATCACCACATCTTCACACAAGTTACTGCTTTTGCTGTAGTTCTGACCTCTTTATGAACTCTGTAGATGAGATTGGAGTGAGCTCTAGTCCTCTTCTTTGTCTGTGAAGGAATCCTGCGTGTTGCTCGGACAGATGCCTTCATTTTGCTTTTTTTGTTCAGTTTATTCAAAAACACTGAAAGAAATCAACTCATGAAATTTAGAGCATTCAGAAGGAGAGCAGGAACAGAAAATAGTGTGTGAGGAGAGAAGAGGATGTTTTAATGAACACAAATTGAAAACAGCTTTGCTTTAATTAGGCTTAATTACTTTCACCCGCCAGGCTTTGAAACCCTCAGCGTGAGTTCAGACGTCTTCAGCTTGAGTATCTACAGTAGACACAAAAGTCAAATCTAAACAGGAACAAGAGCGTCAATTATTTTTTTTAAAACATCACAGGTGATGTTTAATCCACATTTCCCATGATCTACAATAATTCAAAGCTCATTATTAAAAAAATAATATACACACAGTATCACAGTTTCACCTCCTACATGCTGGAAATCTGCTGAATTCAAAATTTGTGTCTGCTTTACTCTTATGTTGTTACTATAACTATACGGTATATTAACTTGATATATCAAGCAATCTGTTGTTTATCCTTTTTATTAAATATTCTAGTTATACATTTATTTTTTAAACTCGAAATTTGGCTGCTGTTTTTATTTTACCTTCTTGTACTTTCTTTTTTCTTTGTTTGTTTGTTTCTTTCTTTCTTTCTTGCTTTCTTTCTTTCTTTATATATTCAATAGAGAAAAGCATCCACATAATTAGACATGTGTAAAAATCTTATTTATTTTGCAAACATTTGATCAAGGAAAGAAAAGATAGCAAGCTCATATGCACAGATTTGAGTCTGCGGATGATTTTAATTGCTTAATAGTCTATAGCTCCAGCACCTCAGTTAGGTCTGAAACCAAATGAGTAGTGTTTTTTTTTCTTCTTATTTTATCATTTATTTTATATATTAAAATGAACATGGTAATAAAAACAGCAAACACAGCAACATTTTCAGGAGAGCCTAAAAGTAGACCTTCTGGTCAATTATATGGATCACAAGGCCCAGCATAAGCCATCACCACCCTCCAGCCACACACACAACCTAAATCTGTCACATAACTGATTGACCAGCCTGGCTTTTATATATTCTCCCGGATTTTTCTCTTGAACCCTGTGGCTGTGCAGTGATTTCCAGAATGCCTAGTGGGGCTGGTGGTCGTTGATGGTGGTGGGTGAACAGCTGTAGGAGGGGCTTTGTCAGATAAGGAAGGCATTAGGTAAGGCCATTAGTGTCCTGTGGATTATTGTAATCCAGTCTCTCTATCACTGCTGGCTTGGTTGCTCAGTCTACAGTCGGTGTCGTCTGGTTTGGAGCAGGTTGGAAGATGGCTCTTAACGTGCAGCGTTTTCTGCTGGCCCTGCTTCTTCTGGGATCTAACGGTACAAGTCTTTAAACTCTAGTCCTTATGAGCCCATAATCTGTGTGGTTTAGAATTGTAAATCTTTAAAGGAGTTAAATCAAGTCAAACTGGTTCAACACTCTTCAATGTGTTGAACCAGTTTGAGTTGATTTGAATCCTCTGAAACTGCTGAAGATGATTTCAAAGGACAAACTTATTCCTAACTGAGAATTTGACAAATATAGTAGATTTTCTCAGTAATCCTTGGGATTATCATGCTTGATTCTCTGTCTGTGTTGTGTTTATTTACCTATTCTTAATGTGGTTAATTTGACAGATTGATGCACAGATTTTGTTTGCTACAATGGGTGACTACTGTGTCCTAACAGTCTTTTTTTTCTCCTCTATGTTTGTCGGCTGACTGGCATTTGTTTTATCTTTCTGTCCATCTGCCTGAACAGTGTTCATCAGCATTTATGCTCAAGAGGTATGAAGAAACCTCAGCAAAATATCAGCAATGATTTAACTCTTAGAGCATTGAAATCAGCAGTATTTACAAAATATGCAGTTTTTTTAAACACTTGATCTACATCACCCATACCAGAGACATCTCAGCTTGGAGTTAAGCAATGTTTCTCCAATTGACATTGGTCAATGTCAAATGATTTCCATTGAAAAAACACTGGAAATCTGCTGTGATCAGATTAGAAGCTCTTTGTTGTATCATTGTCTTTATTATTTTTATATATATATATATATATATATATATTTACAAACAGCTGTATTTTAAAAATAATGGTGTTTCATAAATTAGATATTTCTGATGACAGTAGTTTGGATTTCATCTATTAAATGTTAAATGTGTGTGTTTTTATGAGGCGGAAGTTTCTGAAGCATGGACCAAAAGGTCTTGCAAATGTGACTGTGAAGGAGGAGAATCCCCAACTGAGTTCTCCTCCATTGGGACTGGCTCTTCCATGGTGCGAGGAGTGGACTGCATGCCAGGTACAGTAAGAGACATCAGATACAAACCCTTCACAAAGTCTAGTTGTTGTTTTTGTGCCAGTAACCTGTAAAAAAAAAATACACCATTAATTTACTGCACTTAAATCATTCATAATGGATTTGTGAGAAATTAATTTAACATCACGTGCCCTTTACAACACACTGAGCACAGATTTTGTCAGCTCTAATGAGGCCACTCTTTGACCTTCTAATTAGGTGACTTTTGTTGATTAGATTATCATATTGAATCATTACACTAATAATAGTACTTTTAACACGGAATTAATTGTGATGGTAGTGTAAGATTCAGATAATGAACAGCTGTGAGCTGACTGAGAGAGTGGACAAGGACAAGAATTATATGCTGTATGTCCGATTGTTTAACTCAAATGTAGCATACAATACAGTAGGTCAGCAAATAACGATCATTTACGATTTTTGCTTTCCAAAGAAAGTAAATTTAGTATAACATGAGACAAACCAAAATTTCTAATTATCACATTTGAAAGGCTGATCTGTAAGCTCTACAATGTAGATAGATGTATAGTTTTAATATGTGAGTGTGTGTGTGATAGAGACAGAGAGAAAGAAAATCTCTACATGTACATGCATGAGTGCATTAGACTCCAGATTTGACACCACAGGGTGGACATGCTCCACTGGACATTCTCAGAGAAGTTGATGCAGATGGTGCCATGAAAAGAAACAGAATTTAAATCTAATTTTACTTTTGCAGAAATAGAAAATGTGCTCAGCAATCATGCACATGGATCCAGATATGAACCAAAAACTACTCACTTGGTTGAAAATGAAAATTAATTATTTCCCTGAAACAACAGTTGACAAAATAATCTCACCATGAGGTCCATTTGTAGCTAGTGTGGAACTCTTGATCATATCACATCATATTCATCAGCAGATGGACATCTCCATTTTCCTGATCACTTTAAGGACTTGGCCTGGGGTTTAACTTTCCACCAAATATACTGTAATCTGTTTTTGAGATCAAACACACGAACAAACAAAAAAGGACTTTGGGGCAGCCTCATTGGGCCCGTGATATAAAGATCAGACTTGAATCATGTCAGACTTGAAGAGAAGAGAAAGGCAGAGTTGATGTACAGTGAAAAGGGCTTTCCTCAGTGAATCAATGTGTGTCAACTGAGCCACAAATCACATGGCAACCGAAGACGGAGAGGAGAAAGAAGTTCAGTAGATAATCATTATCTCAGAACATGATGCTCAGATTATGGGGCTCTTAATAGACTGTGCCAATCGTACAATCACAGAAACCAGTAATTACCTCGACATGGACCTGGTGGTTATAGGTTATGAGTGAGACAGACTTTCCTTCTCTGCCTCAGATTTGATTCCATATCAGTTCCTCGTGTCTCACCTCTTGGTTTTCCCATAATTTCTGCCATCTGAATATGTTTTATTTTAGTTGTGAAATACATTAGGGAGGACTACAAAGTCACTCACATTGCTGTTATGTAAACACTTATCTCCTGACTCACACAGGCGCTGGTGCTGCTGAATGCGTTGTAATACTGAGATTAGACAGGATGTGACCCTGTGTCAAATAGGCTTAAGCCAGTAGTAAACAAAAGTGCAGCAGGTTTCTGCTCCACATATTTTTTTTTAAACTTTAGGGAAAAAAACTTCACACGTTTCTTTAATTTCTCCCATTCATATTTTTATAATTTATATGAAATAAGTCAGCAAAGGAGTGCCCTCATGTGATTTTAATGGAAAGTGAGAGCGCAGATTGACAGATCAAAACATGGAGCTAAAGCTGTGGAGAGTAGAACATGGCCATCTGTCCGCCTGCCGCCCTAATGGACATCACTGATCTCTCACTACAGAGAATTAAACTGCAGGCTTTTAGGATGGGATATGGGTCACACTGGGGCTGCTAACGGCGGGTGGCTTTGGGAGGCGGAAGGGTGTGAGGATGGGAGTCGGCAGGGGTGAGGTTGGAGAAAGAGCTATGGATAAAGAGATGGAGAATTAAGCACCTACTGTACAAAGGCTTAGTGATGATCATTTGCTGGTCACATTTCAGTGTTTTACTGCTTAGCTGCTGGCAGATGTGTTTGTGCTCTCCACCATCAGGGATGGTGACCTTGAAATCTATGTAGCCAGGAGGTTTTCAAGTGAATAACACTGATATGAACTGAAATAACAAGGACAATAAGAGATTTAAATTAGGACCTCTGTTATAACTCTAACTCTGATCCTCCTGCAGAGTGTCCATACCACAAGCCCCTGGGCTTTGAGGCTGGATCAGTGAGTCCAGAGCAGATAACCTGCTCCAACCAGGACCAATACACCGGCTGGTTCTCCTCATGGCTCCCGAGCAGGGCCCGGCTCAACGGTCAGGGTTTTGGGTAGGTACAGGCCAACATGTAGACTTCATTATTAATTAATAATTAATGTGGACTCAAAGACAGGACTGGAAGATTAGCCACTGAGCTAAAAGAGATCTAAATAAATTAAATCAAATCAGATAGCAAAAAATACATTTGTAGAGTTATACAGCTGCATGTATTTTTTATCTCATGCAATGAATGCTGTTCATTTGAACAAAATGTTGCTTTTGCCAGACATGGTTGACTGTTCTGTCACAGTGAAAAGACCGTAATAAACAAATGTCTGGACCACTGCCATCTGTGAGGAACAGCATTAGAAAAAATGCACTCAGAGAAAATATAACCCCTCTCTCATTATGCAAGGTGCATTTGGTAAGGTTGACCTGCCAATATGTTCTTGCTTTAAATCATGAAAATATAAATAAGGCATGCATTGCAAGAATTAAATGCATAAATAAATAAACAATTTGATGATAAAGTCTAATTTATTTCTTCAAGAAAATACTTAAATCTTCCAATATCAAGCAACAGCAAAGCAAAAAACACTTTAACAGTATGTATTTCAAAATGGTCAGCATATACTACAATACTTTTTGAATACAGACTAAAATCTATTCTTAAGTATCAAAAACTGTCATATACCCAAAATTGGTATAGCAGGCTGGATTTTGCCTTTATTTGACAGCCAGACTGTAACAGTCAGATGTAATAAATGTCCACTGGCTGAACCGTTACCACAGTTATTTGGGTATACTTCTTAACCATTAGGCTACCAGGGTGCCTTCAGATTCTTAATTTAGTTTTTTTATCAGATATTTCCTGAAAAGTACAGTTTGGTATCATTCCCAAAACGACAGGTCTTTTTCATAGCAGACATTGTGACACATTACAGTAGGAAAAGCTCAGATGTAAATAATAAAATAAATGATGGCTTTGAATTTCATTTAGCTGATTAGTTTTCAGAGTCCTGGTATCGGGTCATGACTGACTAGGACACTTGACAAGTCAAAATGCCTGCCGTGAAAAAGACCTTTAATCTACTTGTCTATCTTTTCAATTTTAATTGTCAATAATTTATACATCTCTGTCATCTGCCCTAAGAAAACACTGAACCACTGTCTGTGTGTGCATGTGTACTAGAGTAGTACTGCTCTAGTACACATACACACACTGCTGCATTATGTGTCGTTTATATGTATGTTTGTGTTTCTCCTCCAGGTGTGCCTGGCTGTCTAAGTTCCAGGACAGCAATCAGTGGCTGCAGATTGACCTGAACGAGGTGAAGGTGGTGTCAGGCATCCTCACTCAGGGCCGCTGTGATGCTGATGAATGGATCACAAAGTACAGCGTTCAGTACCGCACAGATGAAACACTCAACTGGATCTATTACAAAGACCAGACTGGAAACAACAGGGTCAGTTGAACTCAGTCAAAACAACAAAAAAAACTTGTAGAATACTTGAGGAAAGCTTGAGGAAACGTCTTAGACACCACTGATCTTATTTTGATAAACAATATGTCTTGAGAAATAATATAATGAATAACATGATGAAATGCAAATGTTATGAAATCTGACCCGAATCTTATGGTCAATGTCTTTTATGTTTTATGTTTTCCCTACAGTGCTCTATTGTACAGATGAATTAGTTGAATTAGTTAAAAATCAGTTGATAACAATTTTGATAATTGAATAATTCATCAAGCAAAACTGCCAAACACTGATTCCTGCTTCTCAGTGTGAGAATTTTATTTACTTCTACTTACAAAAGTGGTCCTGACTGAACTATTATTACCATTAGTAGTAGTACCAGTAGTAACTTTAATGTAAAAAGCTGTATGTTTTGTCAGTTTCAGTCAGTGTAAAGTAATCAGTCCTGTCTCTCTTTCCACAGGTGTTTTATGGAAATTCTGACCGCTCCTCATCTGTGCAGAACCTCCTGCGGCCGCCCATTGTGGCTCGCTACATCCGCATCCTTCCCCTCGGATGGCACACACGCATTGCTCTGCGCATGGAGCTGCTGCTCTGCATGAACAAATGCATCTGAACCTTTCCTCCCGCCGTCCCTGAGGCCTTGCCCTAAAACTTAATCTATACCTAAAGCCCCATTGTAAGAGTGCGTGGTCTGCTCTCACATCCACAGATTTGGCCCCCTTCAGCTACATGTATAAAACCACAAGCTGAGGAAAATACATTCTGTTTAAAACCTTTTTAAAATACAAACAGACATTTTGACTTGTGATTGTGATGTGATTTCATTAAAATATTTGTTTGATATGCTCAATGAGCTTTCATTCGCTCCACTCTCCATTGTCTGTGTTTAACCAGTGTCACACTGGGGGCTTTAATTTGGTGAGTTCTCAATAGATTATTCCATTTGCAATGAAATGGCATAAATTCAAAGCAATAATTAGGCATTGAGAGGGTGCAGTAGCGTTGCTATGGAGGTTGTATCCACCGGTCTGAGACAAGCTCTCATCCTTCTGTGACATGTGAAATTATGTCTTCTTCTCCCAGTATTTAATGGTAAAAGAGGGAATTTACAGTTCTGCAGCTCAGAAAGTCAGTCTGTCTTCCTTAAAGGATAAAGCTGGTGATATTCTACATTTTACATCCCTGTCAACTGATCCAATGAAAAGACCAAAACCACCAAATGAATTGAGCCTAAAGACAAGTATTGTTTGTGTGGCCAAAGCCTGATAAATCTTATTCCTTTATTTTTAATATATTTATTTTGATTATTATTATTATAATTGTGACTTTGTTACTATGAACATGGGCACTGTAGCTTATTTTGAATCAGTAACTGCTGCTCTAAATACTTTATGTGTATCAAATGTGTATTAATCCGTAGCTGAAAATAGTCCCTAACAAATAGATTTACTTTGGTTTGAGTAATGTTTGCTAAAAACTACTAATATACAAGTATATAGTTGTGGTCCCGTTTTTAAAAAAAGATTTTCATCTTCAGTCTGCACATGATTGGTTTAAGGCTGACAGGACAGAGAAGCCAGAGAGTATTGAGAAAATAACTAACATGTTGTTGATTTTGGTCTTTTCATTGCTTTGTCTTTTGAAATAAGAAAAATGCGTAATAATTCCCGACTTTTTCCTTAAATATGTGTGGGATTTTATTTCCTTTTTTCTCTTCTTTGTTCGTAAACACATTCACTTTTTTATCTCAGGCACTTTTTTAAAAATATCACTTTTCAGTGCTATATAAAGATCGAGGGATGGACAAGTCACTAATATTCAGATGTGGTTTTGTATTGTGGTGAACTCCTGATTTGTTTCTGTAACATTTCAATTCAATGTCCCATGGTGCTTTGGGAATACATTGCAGAGTGTTTTACTCTGAATATGTGTTCTTTATTGTATCTTTAAACTATTTCCTTGATTAAATGAATACATATATCATGTCTGTTCTCATGTTGTGTCTGTGTGTGCTACAAAACAAACATGTGAGCCGTTCAAAAATGTACAGTTGGCTTTTATTATGAGATCCTATCATTTTTAAAGTAGAATGGTGAGTATAGATACACTCTATTATTTCTATTTACACCCTGTAAGAAGTGGGAAACGGCTTAATGAAAAAAAAGAACTGATGTTTTAGGAAACACATTCATATTTGTGAACATAAAATCTTCTTCTCATCTCAGTTCTCTGTATGTGACTTACAGGGGGTTGAAGCCTTTATTTCCATCTGAAGTGTTGAATCAGTAAGCTAATATAAGGCTTCGGGTCACTGGCAAGGCAAGCGTTGTCATCAATCTATACCATTAATGATATAGACAAACCCACGTCAGCAGTCATTTACAATCATTAGCAATCAGGATTTTCCATAATACACAACATGGGGCATGTCCTGAATCATGTTCAAGGACAAATTGAAAATAAAAAATGTATTGCAGAGCGATGTCTTGATATTATATGTGGACACTTGATTTAATCACAGTCTCCTACTGGAAATCCTTCTCTGTGCTATATTTAGCTCCAATTTCACTAGCCAGTTATTTAGCTAGTACAATCTGCATCAGTCTGAGTCTCATTCTGAATGTTATTGCTTTCAATCAGCCGTGTAGTCAATTGGTTCTTTTATTTTCTTCCTATTTTTTCTTTTTCTTTTCTATTTTCATCATTTCCAACAGATGAGAAACAAAACATACAATTCTCCAAAACAGAACTCTCTCTTTAGTCCACAGATGTTTTAAATTTTGCACAAATGGATCCATCCTTTTTTCCCTCCTTCTGTGATATAAAAACTTTAAACTTTAAAATCACAGAAGAAGAGGAAGGAACGATGAGTAAAAGTAAGACTGGAAGGAAAACTATGCTGTATGTTTTGCCTAGGCCACAAATAGTGTATTGTTCTATACAACTTAGAATTTTTTTTTATCATCCACAGGTCAGTAGATAACAAGTAAATGCTTTTATGAATAACCTAGTTAGGTAAAATCATCCCTGATCATGACTATTGATATTAAAAATAATGCGAATAAAGTAGGAAATCCAAATTCCGATACAAAAAGTTTGATAACACAAGGTTTTAAAATGCACACAGAAAAATGTAAACACACATATTAAAGGACAAGTCTGGTGCAATTATACATCATTCTTATTGTCAACAAATCCCATGATAAAAACAAAACCAACAGTGCGTTAGTGGGCCCAAAACAGCCCTGCGTTACAACACAAAAGGCTGCTTTGGCACGGGCCTGTTATTTCATATAGATTTAAATTAAAAGGCTTATTAGATGCCAAACACAACACAACTATTTCTAATACTCTGTGACCAGTAGAGTTTTTACAACCTTGTAGAATTATCACAGCGGCAACTACTTTATCTATCATCACAACAACTGTGAGATGAATAAATACAACATTCACATTACAGGCAACAAGAAATTTACCAGCAATGTGCGCTAGTATGTATTTAAGTGACGTTGAGATGGTCATGCGCTGTTTCGCTGGAGCCTCCTGCTTTGGCACCCCCACTACGTTGCCGGGCTGGCCTTGTTCAAATTAATGATAGGGCTGCTTAAGTCAGTCTGAATGCAGCCTTAATTAGTCCCTCAGTACTTTCTGACTTCCCCAAACCAGTCAGTGGCACGCAGCCCCAAGACCATAGGTTCCTAATGACGATGTTAATCTTGTCACATATATGTAGTTTTATTTTAGTTTTGTTTTATGAGATTTCTAAATCATGTCTTAAAACTACAAACCACTGGGCGCTGTAGTTTTACGTTGTGCATTTGTTGGGAACTATTTTCAGCTGCGGATTTATACACATTTTGTTCTCTAGTGAGCATTTACAGCAGCAGGATGGGGTATGTGTGATTGGTTCAAAATAAACTACAGTGCCCATGGTAATGAAGGAACATGTTTTTAAGAGTTTTAACAACTTTGACACAGAGCAATAAGCTATATCACATTTAGGATACACAGACAGCACTTGTTAGCAGGTTGAATTCATTGTTGGTTTTGGTCTTTTAATGGGATTTGTTCACATTATGAAAATATAAAATACCACCAGACTTAACCTTCAAGATCTTAAAGGTTGTAGGTGAGGTATGCCTTTTTGCAGAGTACTCTCCTACTATCTTGAGAAGTTGTGTCTGAGTTAGTCAAACCTCATTTCAAGAGGTTAACTTTTCACCACCAAGGGGGACCAAAGTCTTGATGCCCGTTACTTGCTCTTAAGGTGGTGGACGAAACCAACATGGCAGCATGGAGCTGGAAAGCTGTTAAAAGCTGATAAATGAACTTAAAATGGGGCTTATTTTTAAATGGTGACACCTAGAGTGGGACTTAAAAAGTGAACTGACAATTACTGTATGTAAAGCACAGAGCCTAACAGTCTCACTCAGCTGTTCTGCTACCAAACCTTGTTGACAAAGAGCCCGACTTGTCACAATACTTCAAAACTGATGTCATGAGGGTGATGGGCATATTTGTACTAGATGTAAAGATCTTTTTCCCCACTTTTAGTAACAAGTATTTAGCAATAATTCTTTACATTTTGATGAGAAAACACAAAAAATGGTAAAAATAACATGATATAACATGAAAATCTGTTAATAACATATCAAATTGAACAAAAAAAGGACATTCACCATTATTAAATATTCTTTGTGACATATTGTATTATCAACACATAAATATCTATGCATTTCTTTGTGTCGAAACTAAAGCTCTTGCAATTACACATTTAATTCTATATTACCTTATAATATTCCCATATAGCCTACATACTGTGTCATTTATAGCTTATATCCTTGAATTTAAAACAAATAAATATTTAATAAATACTGTTGATATAAATCTTTTTTTTTTTGTTCTTATCAAATATCAGAGCTTGAAAAACATTTGAGTTTATTGGCCACTTGTGTGTCAGTGGCTGTCTGATGTGTTGCTGTAGTGTCCTGTGAGCAGAAGATGGCAGCAAAGAGGCCACATGGGCAGTGTCTTCTTGACAGGAAAGATCAGCTCATTCTGGTGTTCTAACCTTGTTAAGTAGAGAGAGCATTACAAACAACTGATGTACTGGCATCCCGAGAGGAAAAGGGAGCCCTTTCCTGTCTTTGAATCCTTAAACAACACTGTTACTAGTGTTAACGTCTAGTCTTTGTAGATTTCAGAGACATGAGCATCAACAAATAACTACGTTTCTGAATGAGGACTTGATCCAGTGAAATAGGCTTTCATGTAAACTTTTACTACAGTACCATGATGTCTGCGTCTAGCAGATACTTCCAGGATGGAGACGTATTGGAGGTGGTGTGGTTTGGGGGGAAGGGGTTTACAGCGCGGTCTCCTTCAGGTCGTTGAGGTTTGGCATCCTGGTGCGGGAGGCTCGGGTAAAGGTGGGTCCGTTCTGCCCAGGTTTGATGCCCAGCTGTTCTGGGGTGAACTGAGCACCCTCAGCCCGCTGTAAAGCAGACACGTGCCAGCTGGACTCGATCTGTCCGGGGAGGGGGTAGCTGGCCTTGCGGCTCTTAGCCTGGGCAGAGCTGCTCACCCCAGAGTGCCCCCTGCTCTCGGCGTGCCCTCGACCCTCAGAGTAGCCCGCTTTGGAGGAGGGCTGAGGGGGGTTGGGAAGTGGGGCTTGGAAGCGCAGGTCTGGAGGAGGAGGAGGAGGCTGCCCTTGATTTGAGGAAGATGGGGAAAGGTGAAGGAGCCTGCGGAGTGACTTGAGTGGCTGACTCTGTTAGGGGAGAAAGAGATACCGTTGACAAATGATCTTAAAGGATGTGGTTTCTATATTTTTCTTACTGTCCACAAATCTCACAAAAGTCTCTCAGTATTCTGACTTCACTACCCTGTCTGTGTTCATTCCTCCAATGTAAATCTTAAAAGTACATGTAGGAATAATTGCATGCAAGACTCTCTCTCTTTTGAATTCCAGTATGGGGTCTATAAGGAGCTGTAATCCCCCCCCTTCTATCTATCATTTCTGTGATTGTTTTTTTATGAATTTTGTCAGTTTTTGAAAATATATCTGAAGGATTGTATTGTTAATTTCCATTTAATTTTGTGCCTGTAATCTAAATGTAAATATTTGTCATGTTAGCCATTTGCCTGATGAAGAGCTGGCAGATCCATGCAATACATTTAAACCACCTGTCTGCAAATAATATATTTGTGACACGTTCACACACGTTGTGACAAAGGATGATTTTCACAGAGGCTGGCATGGAATTTTTATATCATGGTATGCATTTTATAATATTATAATGCATTTCTGAATACAAAACTTCTTTGTACAAAGGCTTTCACGTGTTGCCGATGCAGAACCAATTTGTATGGCTTTAACCTACAAATACCTCTTATGTCACTTAAATAACACCATTTGCATAATCATGACTGACACTAAAGGGCTGTTATGATATTTTGGTGACAGACTGAGATCTGGGTCAAACAAATACAGTCTCTAAAGTCTCCAGTATGTTAATACCTGAGAGTGTGAGTCCACTGGTTTTTCTGGTGGCCAATCATTAACTCTCTCTCTTTCCCTCCCTCTTTCCCTCTCTCTTTCCCTTTCTCTCTCTCTTTCTCTCTCCCGCTCTCTCTCTCTCTCTCTGTCTCGGTCTCGGCTCTGTTCCCGCTCCCGGTCTCTGTCTCGGGATCGCTCGCGATTTTTCCTCCGGCTGCCGTGGTGAGAAGATGACTTGGAGCTCCTCTGCAGGGACAGGTGTTCTTGTCCGTTACCAGGAACCTAACAAAATACAGGCATATTATCATTAGTTATCCAAAATATCTATTTACTGTAAAAGTTAGTCTCTCTATGGAGAGGTTTCAGGCATACAACACATTTCACTCGAACCACATCTCAAATCCTGGTGAGGTTCTTCATGCATCCCTCTGGCAGCACCAGACAAAACACGAGGTGGTGATGGTGATGATTTTATACAGAAAAAAATGCACAAGTTCTCCAAAAGTTTTGGTTCTGAGTTATCACTGCCGGGCTGCAACTAACTAATTTAACTTCATTTCAGACACATACGTACATATTAACATAAAAACATTGATCATTTAAACAATGATTTTTATTATAAATTAATCTGTTGATTATTTTTTGGATTTATCCTAATTCATGATTCATAATTTTCCAGAGCTAAATCAGAATCAGAAATACTTTAAAGTTGATGTCTGGAAAAGAGATGTAGTTTAAATTGATATAAAACAAAGAAAAGTGCCAAATTCTCATTTTTGGGAAGCTGAGACAGGCAAATTTTTGGCTTAATAACTGACTGAAAGGATTATTTAATTATTTATATGAGAATATGAGCTTTAGAGGTACTGGTTAGCAGATTTTCTCTTTGGATAGAACCAGGCTAGCTGTTTCCCCCGTTATCAACCTGTAGTATCGACCTTCTCATCTAACTCTCAGTGTGAAAGCACATTTCAATGTTGAACTTTTCCTTTAAACTATTATTTCAGCACAGTACATAGTCCATAATGGACCCATGTGTAGGTTTATGTGTTTATAAATGTGCTGAATATGTTCTTGATCCTCATATGACACAATATTGTTTTATTTGAAAAGAATGAGTCTTAACGTGCAGAATTGTCGGCCTCACAAACAGCAAACCCTGGAGCATGAAATCAATCAATGTTGTACAATGCAATGTGAATGCAAGGTGACTGCATTTGACATACATTATAGCGAGACAAATGGATGCACAAACACCGTGCAGTATTAGACTCAAAACATATTTGAAATCCTTTCAATTTATAACATTTCTCAGTCAATCAATCATCAGGCACTTGAGAGGATTTCAAACCAGGTCATTCTGGTGAGTGCGGTGTGAGTTAACATGCAGTCGTAGTGTTGAGGTTAGATTACTGGTGAGGCAGGGTAGGGCGCGGGAGGCTGGTGTTGTACCATAGGCGAGGCGACTACAGGTAGGACTTTGACAGCTGAGTTGTTCTTTAAGCTATTCTTAGAGCTAAAGAGGGGGAAAAGGCTTTTCCTGATGCTGGGGTTCCTCCCGTCCTCCATGTCCGTCTGTGAAGCAGAGACGCACAGCCACAACTCTCAACACAAATTTCTGACAGCATACAAGAAAAACAACTGCAGCACCTGATGCACAACCATCTTAATAAATACCACTCAACAATAGATAAAGAGGAAAAGATCATTAACAGCATGAAGATTTGATTGTTAAGATAAACAGGAAAGAAAACAGATAGAGTGGGAATGCAGACCAGCATTAAAGGATCATTCTGTATTATTACACATTGTGCCTTATATTTTGGCCATCATTTCTATCTGTTATAATAACATTGTACTAGCCAAAGTAGTTGACATGGCAACATTTTAGCTAACATTTTAGCCAGGTTATCTAGCACTTCGTTTGGAGGAAAAAACAAAGCTGCTTCTAAAATGTTGGTAATAATCCCTAATTGTGATAAAAGTGTTTCCATTCATCTTCTTTAATGCACATTTTTAGTTTGCACATAAAAGTAGAAATTTCATTTTGAAATTAACAAAAACAAAAGAGATATTTCAAAAACAGTTTTACACTTGTTGAGATGGAAAAGTGGGTGTATTGATAAAAAGAAAATGCAACCAAAAGCAATGGAAACAGACTTAATGAATTAATCATAAAACATTTCTTAACTTAAGGTCACACAAGCTTCCACTCCACTGGAGAGATGAAAGATGGTGCAGACAAAGTCATCAGATACATATGGACGGAGGAGACTGTAACTTTCCCCGATTTAATAGATAAAACGAACATAAATGCCATTTTTCCACCATGCCTTGCTTGATGTTTGAGTGGTATTCTTGTAATTACATCACGTCGGGGCGCCCTCCTCTTCTGTTGTGGTTTAATGGCATGGACAAATAGCAGCACTTATCTCAAACTCACAATATTCGTATAACAATAGTGGCTGAAAGCATTCATATATATTTTCTTTTGTCAGTTTTTTTTTAAAAATTTGATTAGAAATGTGCTATATTTGGATTAAAACTTGACTAGTACAGTAGGTTGGTGGAGCTAGAAGCTGGTCTATAAACTATTTACAGCAAACAGTTTTGAAAATAATTTCACCTAAATCTGAATAATAAATAAATAAATACCCTGGTTGTTGTTTTTTTACTTGTCTGACTGGTTGTGCATCTTGGCCCTTGCACATCACTGTAGTGATGTGCTATATTCCCTGATTTTGGCAATTCAATTCCAATATTATTATTACCACTAGGAATGATGGCAGACACTACTAAAAATAAGTCCCATGTTGCAATAACCCAGAATTACCCTTTAACACTCTTGGTGGTTAATATCACTGTACATTCACTCACATAGTGAGTTCACATAGTTTGCACACTGTTAAACACACGATAATCACCTTTAAATGCACTTACTACACACTAAAATTAACTTAAGGAACACATTAAACCAAAGAAAATATTTCTATCTGTGCTAGATGAACCGACAGCTGATGACTTAAATGATCTTACTATTTGTGTCTTCTTCTTTTTCTTTTTAATGGCTCTGAAGAAGCCTTGTTTCTCCTTCTCTTTGGTGGGCTCTGGAGGATTCATGACCATTGCTTCTGCGGTGGTCCTACGAGGCAAATGTGAAAAAGTGTTCATATGACTCATGTTTTTGATTTCAAGCTCAGTATTAAATCGGGACTTCTTCTCAGGCGTGTCTCAAAGAGTAGGGCACAACCTAAATAGAAAATGTGATGAGTAGGACACACATACAGAAAAGGCAATAAAATAACACCAGTAGCACAATGGAAGACTGCAACTGATGTTTAAATAACTCAAAATGTTAAGCTTTTAATTTTAGGTTAGCTAACAACTATTCAAATTTTTCACTTCAAAACATAAAATTACAAAAACACAAAGAGATATTTTTTTTTTTACATTTGAGGATAGTAAAAAACAAACAAACACCAAAGTAATTTTTCTTGTTTACTTAAATCTGCATTGTGGAACTTTTATCTCGCCCTCTGACAGTGAGAGTAACTACACAAACCACAAGTCCACCACAGTGTACTACAGTCAGTGCTCAATACAAAACCCACAATTCAACTAACAATGAATGAGTCGTTATCAAGCAACAACCTCTGTGGCTACCAAATAAAGCCAACACACCACTTGAGGGTGGCTACAGAAGTCAGTCAATCTTCATAAGGTCCCATATTAAAATGCCCAACTTCACAGCAGAAAAAAACATGGCTACAGCTGGGTACAAAAAAGGGTCTCATCTCTAAATTCCCCATTCATGACAACTGTATGTTTTTTTTTTATATAACGCACCTTGTTTAAATGCATAATTAAGTGAGTGACAGATGGGTGCCGTCAAAGGTGGCTGCTCATTTTTTAATTAGCCGGGAGCCGACGGAGTCAGGAATGCCAAGATGGCAACGGCCAGAGCCGACCACAATTTGAGCTTCACAACAGCTCTTAAGAAACCTATGGTTGACGTCATAGAGACTATCAATAAATACTGAAACCAAAATAGTCAACACATGAAAGAAAATCTTTCAAGACAATCAAGACAAGATGTTTTCACTTATTTAATTTCAGTTATTTAGAGAATGTGATCATCTGTCTTTACAGTAGGACCACAAAGTAATCCTAAGTAAGTAAAATCTAATGGATCCTAATTAGTGTTGAGACAGACTTCATGTGACAGTGAGGAACATTTTACAACTCGGTGTGGATGTACAACCTTGAATGTATAATAATGCAATCTACTGCAGCATTGCCTGAAGTTACAATCAAGAAAAATGCCAAGCTAGTTTGAAAAAAACAAAACAAATATTCTCACCAGTCAAAAGCTGTCTGGCGTTTGGAATGGTTGGCCATGGCAACAGGATCTACGGGAACAACCGGCACAACCGGCCCTCGCCCCTGCCCGACACCATCATGGAAAGAAGAGGGGTTATCTGGTCTTGGGGACGGGACTGAGGAGAAACAATGAGGAGAAAAGATTATTAAAAGCCTTGTAAATATTTAATCCATTATGTTCAATGATCATGAAACTTTAGAGCTATTTATTTATATCTTTCACTTTAACTGCACTGTATTAGATAGACTACCCTGAAATATTCATTATCTCCAGAAGATGAATCCTACTGACTCGTCTGGTTTTCAATTGATCCTCTGACTCTCCCTCTGGTGCCACCAGCAGGTTGACATTGGATTTCCATTAAAGGTGGGGTAAACGATTCTAGGTAATGCAATTCTAATCCAATACACTTTTGGTCAAATTCAGCAATTTCTCCAGATTCGCTTACCTCACCTTTATAGATCCAGTGTGTAACGTTTAGGACGATCTATTGGCAAAAAAGCTCTATTCAAATGGTTGCAACTTCAATACTAGATAACACACTGGATCCTTTAAATTTGGCATTCCTGAGAACGAATTGTAATAATTTAATAACCCAACTTTTCCTCTAGCACTATCGTGAGGTCAAAATTAATTTGTCCAATACTTGCAAAACTATGACATTCCCATCAACCTCAGATGTACTTTGTGTTTAGGGCTAATTAGCAAATGTTAGCATTCTAACACACTAAACTAAGATGGCCAATATGGTAAACATACCTGCTAAACCTCAACATGTTAGCATTGTCATTGTGAGCATGTTAGCATTCTAAGGTTAGCATTTATCTGTGCCAAATACAACCACAGAGAGCTGCTAGCATGGCTATTGCCTATTTTGTTTTATTCCATTTGGGCTTAGTTTAAATTTAATTAAACCACATTCATATGTGTGTTTTTATGTTGCATTAAATAGCTTGTCTATTTGCCTCATTCTGTGTTATGTGAAACATTTTGAGTTGCCTTGTTTAAAGGGGATACACTTGCCTAAAAACAAAAAAGAAATCACTTTCATGATGCCATACTACACAGATTTCTGTTTGGTGATTCCTGTTCCTTACCTCGGTAGAAGCTGCCTACTCTCCGAGGCATGGACTCAGTGAAGATCATCCGGTTCTCCTTGGAGGAACCTCCATCGTCACCATGAGGGTCGTGATACATACCAACCTAAGAGACGCAGACATCATGCGGACACACAAACGCACAAATACACACATGGACACAGGACCATACGTACAAGTACAAATAGAAGTTCCTCAGTATCTACAGATTTGTGATTGATAATCTCCATTTAATCTCACTTTATTGCTTATGATTAGCTATCACATTCTTTGCTGGCTCACATCAACAAGACATTCGGGACAATCTTATAGCTTTTCAGTGAGGTTACATTTATACCAGCGACAACGTGCAGTGAAGCTGTTGACCTGAGTAGAAACAGAAAAAGCTATGGAAACCGGCGGTCAGAAGAGCTACTGGCTGTGTTTGCTGAGGGAGGAGTCAGGGGGTCGGACCTCGTTTTTAGTGCGCTGTGTATGAAAAGCAGCAGTGTTGTCCCTCGTAGAGTCTTTGATGGGTGCGCAAGGGTGGCTCATGTCTTTAGGGGACTGCTCACTCTGTTGAGAAGACGGACAGGCGCAGGTCAAAGCAGACTGGACAAGCAGCATGAAGCAGAGGCAATGATAATGTGAGACAGTGACAGTCCCTGCACACACACATCAACTTGTGAAATATGCATTCTTGCACACATTGCTAATACATGTATTAAAGAACAAATTCACCTTCAGACACTCTGACGATGTTTAATACCTTGAATGTGTGGGCTTGAATGCAAATCTGGAAATGTGGTATTTTTTGTTCTGTGTATTTACCTTTTTTTTCATCAACCTGCCTCATCGTCTGTTGCTTCTGTTATATCCAACATTTCCAAGATTCATTTTTAACACTTCCTAGTACTGTTTATTGTTTTAAATCTATCGTTTTTTTCTTTTATCTGTAACGTATACTTATATACTATATAGATCTTGAATCTCATCGGGAATATTCCTCGTGAAATAAAGGTAAAAAACAAACCAAACAAACAAACGCCTATTAAATGGCGTTAACTTTTGGCCTTTAGATGTGGATTGTAAGTGCAGGTGGAGAGCTTCAGTGATAGTGCTGGTGGAGCAACAATAGGTTTTCCAATACTTCCAAAACTCCATAACCTGTGGTCTGATTGCATTATGGTCTATTGAAGTTATAGTGACTTTTTCAGAATAACACTATTCTAATATTCCTACTATTGTAGCTGTGGTAGAATATATATTGTCTACAATTGCCCTTTTACTCCTGGGAATAATAGTAATACATCACCATATGCTATAATGGATCCTATCGGACCCTTTTAATAGTGTTAGTGTCAGTATTTTTGTATTAATGTATCCTTTAACTACCACCACACCCACAGGACTGTCACTAACCCTCGTCATGTCATCAGTGCAGTCCTCTCTTGAAGAGCTCACTGAATGTCCGGTGAGGGTGGTCCGGTGCTGCATTTGAGGGGAGAGGAGCTGCAGGCTACTGGCACGTGTAGGTATCGCCTGCCCCGGCGCAGGCAAGCCCGCCATCCCACTCTCGACCCCATGTGGTCGGTGGCGCTCCCTCCTCACGTACATGGAGTGGCGTTGAGGACGTTGCTGAGAGGAGAAGGGGGAAGTATAGCCTAGGCCATAATGATAAGACTCATGTGGAGAAGGCAGAGTGTGAGTGGAGGGCATCCCTGCTCCTCCTGGGTCTAAGAGCTCCGGAGCACCGGCCTCCTCTGGAGACGTAGACAGGAGAAGAGCGAAAAGAAAACTCATTAGAGCTTCAAGTAATGATTATTTTCATTGTCGATTATTCTATTATTTTGTTCGATTAAGCGTTCAATCTTTAAACTGTGTGAAGAATACCCATGAGTCCACAGTGACATCTTCAAATTTCACAAATACAGATATAAAACAGAAGACTCCCCAGAATAATTTTTCACTGTTATTTTTTCTTTTTTATTTCTGAAAGATATTTACAGGTAGATTTTGAGTTAGTTGTATGTTTTGGGATGGTCTCAGCCTCAAGACTGAAAAATGGCTTTTAAATTAGGTATAGCTGGATAAAGGTGTGGTGACCATTTCAAGAGGAAGACCCATGTCTTTTTTCTGTGGGGACTGTGTATGTGATAGGTGATGTGTTAGATATTAGTAATTTGGCTTTCTGTCTGTTTTTGTTGAGCAAGGATGGGTTCTGAGATTTTGTTGCATTTTACATAAATACTTTACAAAAAATAAAAAACAAAATCAGCTTGAAGCCTAAAGCCAAATGCATATTCACACTTTTAATTTAGTGGACAATAAAGTTGAATCTTGAATACAAATCTGACTCTCAAACCTACCTGGGGCTAAAGTTTTATGTCTAGATTTGTGTCTGGATGAGGAGTCGAGTGTGCTGCTCTCCATGCGGACATTGCCGCTGCTACGAGAGGCGGGGCTGTGCCCGGATCGATCGCTGTGTCGAGCAGAGGGGCTGCCGGGTGGCCCCGGAAGACCTGAAGTGGTGTTGAGGTCTAAACAACTGGCGGGGAAGAAACGGGCACTGGGCCCCACCCCTGCTGTTGAGCTGGAGTTTGGGTCATCTGGGTGAAGTCGACCATCGCTGAGGTTTCCTACAGATTTGGCATCACTCAGCGCGCTGTGGCTCTTGGACAGGCTCAGATAAGAAGCTGAACTCTTAGAAGAGGAGGACATGGATCCGTGGGCAGAGTCGGCCATACTATGGACGTGTCGGCCATGTTGTTTGTCTGCTCCAGACTGCAGTGTGTTGGTCTTGTTTTCCAGGAAGGTATGGCGATTGGCCTGCTGCTGCTGCTGAGAGCGAGAGGAGCTTGGTTTGCTGTGGCCATACTTCGCTCCATGTCCCTGGTCTGGCAGCTTTGGGGAGGGTCCCAAGCTAAAATCAAACTCTGTCTTGCCTTTGGCTTCTTTGGGACTAAGGAGGTGTGGCAGGTTGTTGTTAGCCAGGTCTTTGTTGGATGAGGCAGAACGATTAAGGGTCTGGGACATGTACTGGCCCTTGGGGTGGAGCGTAGGACTTAAACTGGACGGGGGTGGTTTGTTACCATTTAAGAAACTCTTGTTGCTGAGGTGATGGAGGTCACCATGGCGAGGGAGGCTGGAACATTCTTTGCTGTTGGAGCGACGGCTCGTGCTCTTAGTGTGACTCCTGGAGGGGCAGATGGACGGACAAATAAGGTTGTCAATACACTTGCATTGTATTAGGCCTAAAGGTCCAGTGTGTAACATTTAGGATGATCTATTGGCAGAAATGGCATATAATATACAGAACTA